TGACGGTAGGGGAAAAACATCTGATTGGGGAAGGAAAAGTACATTTGATGGAACAACTGAGTGGTAACACAGATAATAACTACAGTGTAATGAAACACACTGAGATGAGTTCCTAACTAAACTATCCAAACAAGCAAAAACATCTCATGGGTTACTTTTGGTGGATGCTAAGGAATCAGCTATCACTTTGAAAACTAAGAAGTAAAAAAGAGAACTTAGCATTTATCCTGCCTTCCCTATGCAAACTGCATTTCATGATAACCCAAATAGTTGACATGGAAAATGTCTCTTTATGGAAGAAAGATAATCAATGACTAGTACTATTATTTTAAAAAATAGAGGTGTGCTTTTATTTCCTATACATTGGTGATGAGATGTGGAAATTTGAATATATTCAAGTTTGATTTTTTTTTTCAGGAGGAATATATCCCAGTGTGTTGTGTCATTATGTAACTGCTGATAAAAGTATATAACATAAAGTATTCCTCCTGAAATAAGAAGCAAATCAGAATCTTATCAAATTTCTATACCTCATAACAAATTTATATAAATAAAAATATAAAAGAATGAATTAAATAATACCATGCAGATGCAGTTGGCAAAACTCAGACCTTGGACAAGCCTACGGAACAAACAAACTGGATTCTTCAGTAAATGAATTGCAGAGGAGAAGAAAAGAGATGAGGGAATTTATAGATTTAAACTGATTTAAGGGACATCAACCAGTTGCAGTGAATGGGCCTTATTTAGGTCATGGTTCAAACTGTTAAAAAATGTATGTGACAACTAGAGGAATCTGAATACTGAGTGGATAGATAAAAAATCATCAAGTTAAAATTGATTATTGTTAATGTTTGTAGGCATTATAGTAATTCTGTGGTTATATTACCCAAAAATACTTATCTTTTTGAGATGCATATTGAAATACTTATGGTTGAAATGAAAATTTTTAAAATCTGGAATCTACATTTACATATACATAAAAACCTGTGAAAGGATATGCAGTTGGCCCTTAAACAGCACAGGGGTTAGGGACACTGAACCCACACATAGTCAAAAACCCATTTGTAACTTTTGAGTCCCTGAAAACTTAACTACTAATAGCCTACTGTTTACCGGAAGCTCCACTGATAACATGAACAGTTCATTAATATGTACTTTATATGTTACATGCATTATATACTATATTCTTACAATAAAAAGTAAAATGTGCTGGTCACACCAAAGTGATCATATCGAGTAACCTTAAGTCAGATGCGTCATGGGGAATAGCTGATACCTATTCTTGATGGCTTAGGCTTAGAGCCCAGTTCTGGAGAATTTCGTATTCTCAGTACACATCAGTTCTTTCCTTTAGGATTTCCTGGTTGGAAAGAGCTGAGTTCCTCAGTACATAGTCCTCACTCTCCAAGTGTTTAGGTCACATCATCCGGATGAAAAGCACCAAAACTATCGATGTGTCCCAGAAACTGCTTCCTACCTTGACAATTATTACAAAATATTTCCTTATAAGAGGAAATTAATTTTCAACACACTTTATATTTTAAAAGTACATTTGACGGTAGGGGAAAAACATCTGATTGGGGAAGGAAAAGTACATTTGATGGAACAATTGAGTGGTAACACAGATAATAACTACAGTGTAATGAAACACACTGAGATGAGTTCCTAACTAAACTATCCAAACAAGCAAAAACATCTCATGGGTTACTTTTGGTGGATGCTAAGGAATCAACTATCACTTTGAAAACTAAGAGGTAAAAAAGAGAACTGAGCATTTATCCTGCCTTCCCTATGCAAACTGCATTTCATGATAACCCAAATAGTTGACATGGAAAATGTCTCTTTATGGAAGAAAGATAATCAATGACTACTACTATTATTTAAAAAAAATAGAGGTGTGCTTTTATTTCTTATACATTGGTGATGAGATGTGGAAATTTGAATATATTCAGGTTTGATTTTTTTTTCAGGAGGAATATGTCCCAGTGTGTTGTGTCATTATGTAACTGCTGATAGAAGTATACAACATAAAGTATTCCTCCTGAAATAAGAAGCCAATCAGAATCTCATCAAATTTCTTTACCTCATAACAAATTTATATAAATAAAAATATAAAAGAATGAATTAAATAATACCATGCAGATGTAGTCGGCAAAACTCAGACCTGGACAAGCCTACAGAACAAACAAACTGGATTCTTCAGTAAATGAATTGCAAAGGAGAAGAAAAGAGATGAGGGAATTTATAGATTTAAACAGATTTAAGAGACAATCGACCAGTTGCAGTGAATGGGCCTTATTTAGGTCATAGTTCAAACTGTTAAAAAATGTATGTGACAACTAGAGAAATCTGAATACTGAGTGGATAGATATAAAATCATTAAGTTAAAATTGATTACTGTTAATGTTTATAGGCATTATAGTAATTCTGTGGTTATATTACCCAAAAGTACTTATCTTTTTGAGATGCATACTGAAATATTTATGGTTGAAATGAAAATTTTTTAAATCTGGAATCTACACTTACATATACATAAAAACCTGTGAAAGGATATGCAGTTGGCCCTTAAACAGCACAGGGGTTAGGGACACCAAACCCACACATAGTCAAAAACCTATTTGTAACTTTTGACTCCCTGAAAACTTAACTACTAATAGCCTGCTGTTTAATGGAAGCTCCACTGATAATATGAACAGTTTATTAATATGTATTTTATATGTTACATGCATTATATACTATATTCTTACAATAAAAAGTAAGCTAGAGAAAAGAAAGTGTTTTTCAAATTGTCACAAATCTCAAAAAAGTTTTCAAATACACTTACTGAAAAAATTGCATATAATTGGACTTGTGCAGTTCAAACATATTATTTAAGGATCACTCATATAGGAGGTTTCTGAAGATGTGTTGCTTCTAGGAGGAGAACTAGAGTCAAAATGGGAGAAAATGAACTTTCAGATACTTATTTACTTTGTGCAGGTAATATCTTTCCAAAGGACTAACCAGAAAATAAATTAACTGTAATGGAAAAAAGATAATAAGCCTTGAAATGCTGATTTGGGGGAACGAGAAAGCATAGATTCATATTGTAGAGAATGTGGGTAGATTGTCCCAGACCATATTTCTCAAGGACCTTCTGCACCAGAATTGGGCCCACCTCACCCCCACCCCATGCCACCTTCAGCCAGAATCTGAAGAGTGAAGCACAGAGACATTTGAGAACTACACACCTCGGTAATCTGAGTGCCAGCTTTTCAAACACTTATCATACTGTTTTAGAATTTTGGAATTCAGAGGGCAAAAATACTCCCAAATTTAAATTCAAAGCAGTGCAATTCTGAAAGTCTGGAAAGGTTTTTTTTAGATTTGCTGACAATGATTTAATCAGCATAGTGACAGTGTCACTACGGGAGCATCCATTCCATGTTGCCTCATTTTGGGGAAGGCAGTGTGCTGCTGGCGCCAAAGCATAGAAATATTTATGGCCATTGTGTGTTTTGTTTAATCGAAATAATTTTTCTTTTTTTTTCAGTGTTCACTAAATACTTCTCTTTGATTAAGAATTCTTTGCCTTTGTTTTTGTTTCTTACCCCCAGCATCATTGACAAAGAAGTTTCATTAATGGCAGAAATGGATAAAGTTAAAGAAGAAGCCAGTAAGTAGACACATGGCTGCTTGATTAGGAGCCTCCCAATTAGAAGCAATCCTTGGGTCAGACCACCAGGGGTATGGATTCTGAGTGGGGTCCTAAAATACACACTGAAATCCCGGCTCATGAGTCCTGCAACCTTAGGCAAGTCACTTACCCCTGGAAGCCTCAGTGATCTCGGTGGCAAAGGATAGAGAGTAGCGTCCTCTGACTAGAGTGTGCGGCAGAATAGGCTTCCACAAACACTAGGTGCCTGCTGAGTTTTTGAGTCCGAGGGACATTTTACACAATCCTTTTCACTTCTTCTCCCTTAGGTTCCACTAGCTCACATTTAACAAACTGAATTCCCCTAAAATATTAGCCCTGTTTGAAATTTACTGATATTTGCCTTAACACACTTAATTACATTTATATATTTAATGTATACATTAAATATATATATGTAAATTAATTACATTAATATATTTCTGGTTTCTTTCAAGCACTTCAGATGCCTGACGAGGCAAACTTGCAAAACTAACAGGCAAAGGATTCCAAGCTTTTAAGCAACTCTTCAAAGATGAATAATTCAAACCTGGAGATGTACTAAATGAAGTTTTCTTAAAACACTCCAATTCTGTTTACATAGTCAAATTGGCGGACACCTGAGACCTTAACACCTTAACACCTCAAAAAACAATCGATAACATGTTTTAAGTTGAAATCACGAGTGAGACTGTTTCAAACAGACCAAACACTCTGCTTAAATAATACATTCAGGCAATCTTAATCATTGCAAGACTTTTCCTAAGTTTAACACACAGTATTGGCACTCTGGGCTTAATTTGTTATCTTTATACTTATTTCTAAACATTTCCACTGTTGTAAAGTTACTCAGCAACTAGTAGGGTAGATTTACCATCTCTAATAGGCTGAGGTTCACGGGTTGGAAATTTCATCTGAGACAAGATTGCTCAGTCAGATCCAACACCACGCCACACGTGAACATGCTGAGCCCTTATCTTATCATTGAATTCAGTCTGCCATGTTAATGGGAGCCCTAAGACATGTTTTTTAGCTGGGATTTAGTTTTACAATGCTTATCTCTTGTGCAATTTAATTCTTCATCCTCACCCAAATTTTCTCCAGTGAATTGGATAAATGGCAGCCTGCACCCCCAGACTGGTTTCAGCTAACTTCTTTACCTTTGACTGCAATGCCTTTCTTTTTACCAGAATGAAACCGTATTCCCTTGACCATAATCCAGGTGTCACTTTTTGGAAAATAGCTATCATTATTTTTGTTACTCAGTTTTCCTAAATAATTTTAAGCAATATGTGAGTATCTAAAATACAGCAAGTTTTCATTAAGTAAAACCAAATGTAATCCAGGGTTCAAGCTTTGGAATATTTAGGTAGTTGCACAATCCCTTTAGTTGTGAAATCACTTTATTCTTATGAAGTTTGTTTATTGCTTCAGCAAAATCAGATTACCACATGACTTGGGATTTTCCCTGTTTCTCAGGCTATAGCTTATTTTCTTCTTTCCAGTTTCATGTCCTATTAATAAAAATACTAACAGCCAACACAGACACAAAATGTTTCTCCAGCACCAAAACAGAAAATTCGTAGCACATCACTTTCTAAGAGGTTAACAAAATACTTCGGATTTCACATACTCAATCTCCCTTCTTGGGACAGTGATGTTAGGTACCAAGATCTGTGGAATTTGGAGCATCTCTGGAGAGCACCCCCATTTTTTAAATTAATGCATCAATGAACATCTTCTGCATGCTTCTTTATGTGCAGTGTACTATTACAGACTCAGGCAAATAACGAACAGCAGACCAGAGGCCCTGCACTCCTGGAGCTGGCAGGCGAGCTGAAGTGGCCAGCTTGGGTCACAGGGTTCACCTCACTTCTGTACGTGGTGCTGCAGCCCCTGGATTCAGAACTGCCCAGAGCCCTGTGGAAGCCAATTCACATGCACAGGAGGCAAGCAGAGCTGAGTTCAAATCCAAGTTCCATCCATTTATTGGCTGTATGACCTTGAACCATTTCAGTGACTTCTCAAAGTCTCAGGTCACATGTCAGTAAAGGAACAATAAGAATAGTATCTATCTCAAAAGATTATGTAAAGATAAAATGAGAAAATACATGCCCAGCACTTAGCACAGTGCCTGACACGGTATGTGTACAGAGGGAAAAGCGTTTATTCTGAAGAGGTTGCTCCGGCCTCCTTGTGGTGAGAGTCTGAGGCGCTATGCAGTGTCCTCGGGTGACACGCCTGTGTCCCCAGACAGAAAGGACCCTTGCATGCTGCCCACTCAGAAGTGAACTGCCTTTAGAGCCACCGTGTCATGCTGGCCCCTTTGTGGTCTCAAGAGTGATTTCCACATTTTCTATTTCCTGCACATGTTATAAACCATATTTCCTCATTTATAACATAAGCTCCTCTATCCCTCAAGGCACCTAATGTGATGTATTATGTACATACTTCATAATATTTGTTAAATGAACTATTGTAATTAAGTCAGTGACTACAGGCTGTGGAATCCAATTTTAGTAACTGCAAAAAAAAAAAGGGAGTAGAGTCTAGATGAATATATCTGACTTTATTAATAATATTTATAGCTAGCCTTCTTGAGTGTACTAAACACTTCACATGGGTTATTTCATTTAGTTCCCCAATAACCCTACAAGGTGGGCGTGATAATTTTACAGATGAAGAAAGTAAGCATGTTATAGTACTGTGGTCTCAGACTTTGTCTGTATACACAGGGAATTGAAGACCTAGATAGGCATATTCTTGGAGAGTCAAATCTACCAGGGATATTGAAGAGAATATTACTTTCTATTAATAGGAACACAGATATATTATGAAATAAAATGCACAATTCACAAGAATATTTAAGGAATAAAAAGTATTCAAAAGAATCTTTGTGCTCAAAGAGCTCTTTCTGCTCCAGTTCTTGGCCCCCGGGATTTCAAGTATACCCTGTGCCAAGGAGTATTATTTGAGAAGCCCTGAAATTTTCATGGTTCAAGCAATAAGAGCAAGCTCCCAATGTCTTCCAAAAACTGGAAGGAATGTATAAATCTTACTGAGAAAATGGATTTCAGCATACCAGATACTGTTTATAAAAGTAACTAAATAACATTAATCAAGGCCTGAAAGCAGTGAAAATCTAGCTGTGTGGAACTATCTCCCTCTAAAAATTTCTGAAAGGATATTGCTTTCAAAACATACTTATTATTCTGTTTTACAGTCAAGGATCAATGTGTCTCAGGATCTGATCTGTTCTTTGTTTTTATTTTCTGTGATTGATGTTTTTGATGTGAAAATGTTGGGATCCCCAAAGAATACTGACTTTAGATCTCTTGTATTTTTAAGCCTTTTTCATAATGAGAAAGTTTTTGAAGTGTTAATGAGGCTATATGTAAAACTCATCCCAACACTCGCTGATGCAAAGTATTCATTTCCATGCACATTTGCATGAGGGTAAACTCAGAATTTATTGGTGGTCCTGCACCTGCATTCCTATTTTAGGGGCCGTTTATATCTATTTCTGCAAAATATTTTGTTTAGTGTGAACCAAGCTCTACTTAATCAAAAAGAACAGTTCTTTCCAAATGATCCATTTCGGATCCCACAAATGATCCATTAAGAAAAGTCAGATCTGTTTAACTGTATAGACAGACACTCAGTGTGGACTGACCCCTCTACTATCTGTTCATTAAGTCTGAGCCTTCAGAATTTATTTTTTTATCTGCAAGAGAAAAGTACCTCGTTTCATCTTCCTACTCGAGAATTGCTTTCTCATGCTCCCTACTTCAGTTCCATACATATGTGGAATTATAATGGCAAACAAATAAATAATCAAGGTATGAATCTGGACATTTTTCTGTGGCCTCTGTAGAAAAGGAACTTCTGGCTTTCTTTGCACATTCCTTTTAAGTAATGTATTGATTCACTCAATCCTTCATTCAGCAAACATACTGGGCACCCACTGTGTACAGGCCCTAGATGGCATGGACACAGAGAAGTACATGTGCAGTCTCTGCTGTGATTGGAGATGCCTAGAGAGGCCAGGTGGAAATGTGAATGCGCTCAGCAGGGAGGGCGTGACGTGACCATGGCCCACTGGGCACGGTGCTCCATCTACAAAGGGCAACAGCTCCTCACTCAGCCTCAGCCAGTTGTTGCCACGTGGGAATGCTGGCCAGCTATATCCAGGAATTCCAGTATTTTAAGAGAAGCAGAAATCCAGCTTTCAAATGGAATCTAATTTTCAAATGTGGGCAATTAGTTTGTGAATGTAATGTGTGAACCAAACAAAGCATGTGTACTCTGTGGCCAAAAGTGATAATGGGCCAGCTTTTTGTGACTTCTGGTCTGACTAGGTAACCAGGACACCATTCAGCAATACAATGTCTACACTCAGGTGGAAAATCCTTTCACTCCCCTCATGGAAGCAAGTTTTTCGCCAGCTCCTCTGTATCTTGAAAGACTGCCAGGCACAGATTAGCCTCCGCCCAGCTCCATGGCATTGTAAACGGGAGGCACGGGGAGTCCTGGTAAATAATTGAAGCCTGGTTAGAGTAGTTTGGCAAATGATTAGGCTTTATGAGTTATAGATTAGTTACTTTATAGACATCTCAACATTGGTATCAGCATTAACAAGGCAATGTTTCTCCATCTATATGAAGAATGGTTATGGTCTACAGGAAATCTTAACTCTTGATTGCTTCTGAACTTTTGTTTTTTTGAGGTGACTGTTTTTGATATTTATAAATTAGGAACCCTTACCATCAGAAATCATATTGTTTGGTTTTGCATGTATGCTGGGAATCTAGTCTAATAAAGCGGTTGACCCTTGTTCAGTCAAGAATGAAATATGAATTTGACATGCATATCATCTTAGTTGGATGGAATTCTCTTTTTGTGTAACTCAGAATGCTTGTCCAAAAGACATGAAGGCAGTTCGTATGTGACTTGAATTACAGAACTGACAACTCTGTCTATTGGAAGGTCAAGTCTCATATTTAAATCTTGCCCTATGAGTTTGTATGCATTGCTTTTGTGATCTTTTGGGAAACACACACATACCCACAAATTAACCTGTGAGCTACAACATTTATTTGAACCTTTGGTTCATTTGGCAGATGTGTGAGTGTGGCACCAGAAAACCCCCTGGAGTCCTCTCTGGATGTGCAGATGCTACAGAGTGAACACGAATCCAGTTCAAGCAGGCTTTGACTCATCCTTGAAATTTTTCCATTGGGAACACTTACCACAAAGACAAGACGTTTTGGTCTGGAACTCCTCTCTGGTTGCAAAATGGACACAAATCTGTAGAATATTTTTTTTAAAAGCAAGGCACATTTAAGTTCACAAAAAGCTAACAAAATAAAACTTTTATGTAATATTCAAGCCACACAACTAGTTGCCCTAAATGAGTGTGTGTTAAAATTCATAAGGTCAGAGGCTGTTAAAATTTAATAATACAGCACATAGAGAAGAATGGTTTTTGCTTAGTGGGTTCCCTATCCTTGCACTATTTATTCAGATAGGATTTTAGTTAAGTGCCTTTTTTTTAGAGGTAGTTGTTCAGAGTAATGCACAGATTTAAAAGTCCAAATTAAGTAAGTGAGACCACATGCCAGTGAGGAAAAAGAGAAAGATTGTGGGTGTACAGTGAATCAGAAGGGACCGCGTGTGCCATGGGGATCGCTGGATAAGGACATCCAGAGATGGGTGGTTAGTAGCAAACACCAACGGGAGAGCCACCTCCGTAACCAACTCAGAAAACATAGTCATGGCCCAACAATGCGCTTAGTGTGTGCAGGGAGAACTGGATTCAAGAAATTAGGTCATTTACTGTGTTTGAATCTCTGGCCCTAATTGTTACTCCTCCTTCTTTGGCAGTGGAGATCCTGACTGCTCGTCAGAAGAAAGCAGAAGAACTAAAGAGACTTACCGATCTAGCCAGTCAGATGGCAGAGATGCAAATCAAGGTCAGTTCTCCAGGATCCCAGCCTGGACCCTCAGCCAGAGATCTGGTCCCCACTAGGTTTGTTTTGCATCCATGCGGTGCTACTCTCTGAAGAGCACCCAGCTCTCTTCCATAAGGTTGAAATAGAGAATTCAGAAGCATAAAGAACCAACTAATCACTGTATTTAAGTATACTATGGTTTGAAGGGATATATAATTACAGAGTAGAGGTACAAGCAATTTTCCTCGTCAGTGGAGACCAACCCAAATAAAATGTACTCACCCATGAATTAGAGCTGGGACAGGGATAGTATTTTCACTGTATGTAATTTATGTGTACAAACAGAAGCGCACACGTAAGTAAGCACACACTAAGTATGACCTTGGTGTAACAGTAAGGATTGTAAAGAATATGCAATATGTAAAGATTTCTTCCCTATATCCTTTTCTAGCTTACTTGCCCTTTCATTAAGAATTTCACCCACAAATATATATTTATTGGATTTCTTCCATTGCAAACAATAGAACATGACCCTGGCTAACCTCAGGAACAACTAGAATGCAAAAGTTATCAGTGCAGCTCACCAAAGCAGAGTGTGATATGAAGACTACAGGCTACAATTAGGCAGAAGCCCAGGTGGCCACCCAGGGACCATAGGCAGCAGTAACTACAGACTCTCTTGAGGGCATCAGCAGGGAGTGACTCCAGATGTCAACACCCTTTGTGACACTGTGGTTGGTTCAAATCCCAAAGAAAGAGATTCTTATCGGCCTCCACTTGGGTCAGTCCACCATTTGGCCGAGAGCAATCTTGATTGACAGACCAACCCACACAGTGGATCTTTGAAACTGTGTTTGAGTGCAGTTACCAGAAGGACAAATGGTTCCCAGAAAGGCAAAAACAAGCATCTACAACAAAATAGGAAGTTGCAGTTTATAAATTTTCCCTTATCCTCCTCTTTTTACCCCAGTACACTGTCATACACACATATGCACATGCACCCCAGCTCCAACCAACTTCTAGGGCACTTAAGTACTTTGAAGACAGTTCCCGATAGCTTTATAGTGGGATTGCCTGCTCATCCAGGCATAAAACTGGTTGGGCATGGTAGAATCTGGCAAGGGTCCCCTTCTTCCCCACTGTCCCAGTTAGGATGAAAGGGATCCCCTTGGGGACAAGGACCACCCCTGAGGGTCCAGAGACACTGTAGAGGTCTTTCCCTTCTCATTTGCTCTTCTGGTTTTTGTTGCCTCGCAATGGCCTCCTAACTAGTCTGTCTGCCTCCACTGTCTCCTCCAGCTTGGTTGTCCACCCTGAAACTGTAGTGACACCCCCCAGAGCCAATCTGGTCTTTCCCAGTATGGTCTTCCCTTCCCCTCAGAATAAAACCCACAACTGGACTCTGGCACATATAGTCCAGCCTCTGTCTCCCGTCGGTGGGACACCAGGTGAGGAACATGAAGTCGTCAGTGTCCTGGCCCACTAAACACGACTCATCTTTCTTTTCTGCTTATCGAGGTCCCACTCACCATAAAATGATTCATAGCACAGGCTTTGCAGGGAAACCGTTCAGCTCTGCAACTTTGGATAAATTACTTTTCTCTTAGTTCTTAGAACCTAGATTCCACCTCTGTAACAGAGAGAGATAATAATAGTACTGACTTCTTAATAATGTGAACAGATGAAAGTGAGATTATCTGTTAAGAATTTGGCTCATGTCCAATAAGTCCTCAAAAGTTTTTTTGATAATGTTCCAGTTCAAATACTTCCTCTTACATGGCTCTTTAGCCTTGCCCTCAGCAGGAAGTAATTTCTTCCTCTGTCATATTCCTAAAGCACCTACCACAGTCCACCTTATATTGTATTTAGTGTTATCTGTTTCCCTTGCCATGTTGAAAAGTCCCAGTAAATTCAAGGAGGGCCTGAGTCATACTTATTTCTGTATTTCTCACTCCACCCTCCAGACATAGATCTTAATTTTAAATGAACTGAAAAATAATCTCTTTCCCACTTCCTTTAACAACACTTGAAATTCTACCATTCAAGATAATATTTTCCAGTTTCTAAAGGCTTTTTGGATTTCCTGGTTGCCTATTAAAATAGAGAAGGATATCTAGGAAGGATGACATGTTTTCTCTTGAGAGAAAATACCCTAGCAAGCCATCGCCAAATTAGGAAGATTGCCGGAAGGCAACCCAAAAATGTGCAACAAGGACATGAGGTGCTCAAGGAAGGACAAGGGGAGCTGAAAGGTTAACTAGAAGAGTCCAGTCACACGTTTTGCCAGTATCACAGTTTTGTCCAAGGGAAAGGCAGGACCATATTCCGAGAACAAAAGGGGTCATGCTCCAGGCAGGTCAAAACCAAGCTGATTTAATGCAGCCTCATAGTGACAGAGCCGGCTTGATTCCTCACTGGCTCACACCGTCAGTGGTAGCAGAAGAGCAAAGTGGATAATCTGCCATGTGCCTTGGGCATTTCTGTAATTGTGGGACTCCTGTTCTACTTCTCTTTCCTCCAGCACTTTGTCAGCGAGCGTAAATATGATGAAGAGCTTGGGAAAGCTGCCTGATTCTCCTGTGACATTGAACAGCGAAAGGCCCAAATCATGCTCTGCAGAGAAAGTGAGTTTTGCATCCTTGCTAAATAATTCTGTGTGAGTAGGTTCGGTGCTATTTGGAACTGATGTTGGAAATGTCAGGTGTGTAGTCCCCCAGGGGGTTAAAGGGAGATAGAAAGAGAGTTAATGATCTAAGTTCATGACACAAGTCACTAGAAATGTCAAGATTTGAACTTCGAGTCTTCAAATGCCACTGCCCATCAGTAATCCCCAGGATTTATTAAACAGAACAGAACAGACCAACTAGTTTATATCTTTTGCAAACTTCTATTAAGTGCTGCCAAATAAACTGCCTCTCTGATTTCTACAGCCTGGTTCTGCAGAGCCCTGTTACTGAGAGTGAGCCTTCCTCCCCAGTCTGGGAACAGTCAGCTATTGTGAAGGGCCCTGTTCCTGCGTGTGCTGCTCCGCAGTGCCTGAGCTGAGCTGGCTCCTCGGTTCCTGTGCTGAGTGAAGTCTGCAGATAATGAAAGACTTCACTTCAGCCATTAGCCATAGTCTTGTTTGTTATTAAGCCCTAATTTAGAGCAGCTAATGTGCAACAAAATTGGCTGATAATTGTTTCCCCTACTCCAGCCCATCCTCCAGGGGAGGTGAGAATGAGCCCTACAGTGGTTTCATGGGTGGTCATAAGGAGGAAAGGAGGACTAGTGAGGGACATGGAATATCCCCAGCCTCCTAGTCAGCTAAAAAGTTGCAGCTTGGCTGCACTTTTTTTCCTCAAAATGGAAATTGCCTTTTTTCCCTGAGTGTAAAAAATAAGCTTGAGCTAAAAATTACAGAAGTACATTAAATAGAACATGACATTACTTTTGTGTATCATTCACACTTTTTATGCACATATAATCTACTCTGTAAATTATATATGTAAAATTATACTAAATATTATAATTTACTGTCTTATGTAATATATAGTAGTTTGCTTTTATCATTCCACAATATATGGTTGAGATTTTTCTCTGTCAGTATATTTAATCCATAATTTATTTAAATATAATCAACATAGCCAGTCCCCTGATTGTGGACATTTAGGTTGCATCACATTTTTCACCATTAAAATAACACTGCTGTGAGCACCCTCATTCACATATCTTTGGCAATTACCTGATTTTCTGACTACATTTATTTTGAATTACTTTCTTCTTGTCCACATGCTCCCTCCTCTGTGAAAGAATCTATCCATTTCCCATTCTCTACCCCCAGCTCTTGCCCCACCCCTAAAAAAGCAAACCACCTGGCTCCCAGTTGGAGATCTATCTGCCCATCCTAGTGTCCTCTTCAGCCTGATGATGAGTGGGACCCTCACCAAGTGCCTGTCCCCGGTCTGCAGTGGGGTGGGGGGCGCAGCTACCCCTGCTTCCTCCAGGGCACCCCCAGGGCCATCTAGGGGGAGGAGCCATCCCATACCGGATCCCGAGTGTCCACGCGGAAGCCAGCCTCCCATGTTGGAGACAGCAGTCCTCAAAAGGCCCTTTCCTTTAAAGCTTTGTCGAGGGCACTTTGAAAACCCACAGCTACAGAGCCAGAAAGAGTGGCCTCTGAGCTGCAGCAAGTAAGGACCCCCATGAAACTGAATCTCATGAGCACAAGGGCCACCAAAATCCCCTGGTTGTGCTTGTACAGCCCCAACATGCCAGCACATGTTACCTATAAAATAAAGGGACTAGAAATATATCCCTGTCCTTTCCATTTCTAATGTTCTATGATCCCTATTAGTCACTCCTCATCCTGTAGAAGAACCCTAGGATTAAGTCTGATCCAACACAGATAGTGGGAAAAATTGCTTTTAAAAATTGGTGACATTTTTAAGATTCAAAGGTTTTGCTTTCCAGCCTGACAGTCAAATTCTAGCGAACAGTGAGAGGGAAGTCATGACTTTATCCTTGAAATTGATTCCCTCCAGCTGCCCTCCAGCATAATCACATACAAATCATCCCATCTAAAACCACCCCTTTCAAAACCAGCAGGAATGGTGATCATGCATATTGAACAGACCTGCCTGAGCCTGTGTCTGATTAGCCTGCATTGACTTTAGTGTTGGAATTAGTGTAAATTTGCAGCAGGGCTGTAGAAAATGGGGTTGATAAAAGGCCAGATAATGTAGCTCTAATGGAGTATAAAAGGCACTTTTGGGTATCTTTTGGGTTGGCAGGCCTCCCAATAGCCTATATGCATGACTGAGGGTGACAAACTTCCTGACCCCCTACCTCACCCCATTCCCATGCCCTCAGAACACTGAGGCTGTGACTGGCTAAGTGTCCACACACCTCCTGGTCTTTCCACATCCCTGCAATACCGACCGGCCGAGGATCTGACAAGCACAGCAAGAACAGGTTTAGTCATGGGGAACCCAAGAGGCAGAGTACATTGTGGATGGGGCCCAGAGAGCAGTCAGGATTTCTTTATCCCTCTTCCATTTGTGATATTTGACCTTAGGAATAATATTAAAGTTGCTCAGACGTGTCTTAACTTCCTACAAATGTCTCCCAACTTGGATGATGCTGTGATTCAGTTCATTGATTCTCAGAGAAGAAACTTGGTGGTCTCCAATCACCAAGGTGCCCTTTCAAATAATATCCTTAAAAAAAAAGTTTAATGCTTTTTTGAAGCTCTTTCCAATTTCCCCATCTCCTCACGGGTGATGGAGGCAGCAGTATGCACAGCACAGCCCGTAACACCATGCGCCTTCTCGTTGCAGTTACCCATCCAAAGAACAGCTATTCCCCGAGAACTCCCTGCAGCTCCCTGCTGCCGCTGCTGAACGCTCACACAGCAGCCTCTGGGAAACAGAGGAACTTCACCCGAAAACCAGCCAGTCACAACAAGTCCTCCGAGGGGAAAGCAGCCAGCCCCAAAGTGGCTAGCAATCTTCCCAGCACCACTGATGGCTCTCACCAGGCCATGCCGGCCAGCAAGCAGGTAAGCGGCTCCAGGCGGGTGGCCGTGCGCTGCCCCCAGGCATCCTGCAGACCCTGGTGCTTGGTGCCAGGGAAGAAACCACCTGCGTACAGAGGAAGAAAACAGCAACTGCTGCTGCAAAGCTCCCCAGGTCATACACAGGCCCCTCCTGTGGCCAGCAGCACTGCCTGGCCTGAGATGATCTGCCTGGCTGGCCTCAGGGAACTGCCCAGGGCTGGGTATCCACACTTCACAGGTGCCTTCCCGTGTGCAGGCTGGGGCCTTCCTAGGCTCTTGACAGCACTAGCAAAGTCCACCCAAGTGAGCTCTTCTCATGCCCCCAGTGCTGCCATTCCCAGGTCCCTGTCACCAGCCCACGTGTGGAAGGAACTCGCAGAGATGTGGGAGCATGATTCCGTACCTGGCCACTGACACTGTTAGTGAGAAGAAATCTGGCATTTGTTTTTTAAGACCCTTTAATTCCCATTTATATTTAGATTAGTAATAAGAGGCTAAAGTTAATTCAGACATGTCTTGGGCTTTCAGGGAAGAGAATACATTTCAAAATGACATTATTAATCTTTAATATGACCCCTAAGAATGCAGGTGTCCTATGGACAGTCTTCCTTCTGTCCTGCTGCTCCACTCCATCCTTGAGAGCTGATATCTCTCTTATCATTAGAGAATGAGCAAGCAATGGGATTTGATGATGCAGACATTGGACGTGCTGTAAAGACACCTTTCATCATCTCTAAGAAAGAGAGCCCCAATAAAGACACTGTTTTTGCTAAGCATTACAAAATGCAGTTTTCTAACAAGTGCCTCTTGGATTTTGTTGTCTTGGTCTTTTAGAATTATCATTAATGACACCTACAGGCATTTCTCTGACCTCACAGGTCTTTGTGAACTTTAAAATTGCACTTTGACAAGGAGCACTTCATATATTCTCAGGTTAAAGATCATAATCAAATCTGTTTTATTTGTCATCTAAAGACATCTTCGGAGCTTTTGCTCTTTGCTCATTATTAAACCCATATTAAAATTAAGCCTAACATCTAGTCTGTTTCCCTTTCACAATTTCTTTAAAAACAGAGGAAGCCAGATTAAATGCTATGCACACAGACACTTCTTCAGCTCACTGTTTTATCATTTTCAGCAAAGAATTCCAGGCAATGGCTCAATTAAGTTGATATATGCCTGTGTATCTAAGCTAGAACACTTAGACCTGGATGAGAAGGGCCCTTGCGCTGGGCCCTGTGCTTTGGAGTCAGCCCTCCCAGCCCCTGCCCAGCCATGGCCTCCCTGCCGAGTGAGACTGAGAACTGACTCTCCAGAAACTTCATCCTTCCTCCTGGGAAATGCTGTGAGGCACCTGAGGTCCTGGAAGTCTGTGCCCGAAGGGCCCCATGTCTGCTTTCATGGTCTGTTTGGACCATTCCCCTGGATATGTCACCTTGAGGACAGACCACACTACCAGTTTGCACACTTCTAGATCCAAAGGGCGATCATCTGTGGGGGTAGAGATACAGAGGCTGGAGTGTCGTGTGCAAAGCCGCCTCCTACTGGGGGACGGAGCCAAAGGCAGGAAGAGACAATATGCGGACATACTCTGTGTGGGTCTAATACTGCATTCTTGCCCTAGGCCTGAATTATTAGGGGTGAGTCTGCCCTAAACCCATATAATCCAGTCACAGTGCACACAAATTAAGAACTTAATGTATTTATAACTCATAAAATTATACATTTTAATAATAGAGGTTTGATATTCCGTGAAGGTCAGAGTTCACATACAACCTATTTATGAATCTTGAAAAGAGGCAGTGTGTGAAGTTGGAACACCTCTACCATTTTCTAACCATAGACCTTAAAATTCACTATCCTTAAGTTCCCTCAAGTTCCTTAAATTCATTATCCTCATCTATAAAGTGAAGCAAATAATAGCAACTGTCTTAAAGGGTGCTTGTGATGATACATGAGATGGCTCCCTCCTCAGTGTCTGGCACACTGTAAGTGCTCAATAAATGTTGACTATTGTTGACCTCAAGGAGTTCAGAAACCTTTCCCTTATACAGGGACAGGCAGGCTAACCCACTGCTTCCTTTCTCCTCATCCAGTTATGTTCTCGGCTGCTGATGTGTTGAAGGCTGCCAGTTCTTTTTTCAGTATGATGCTTCAAAACTCATTGGCTGAGAACTGCAAGAAGTTTAGGAAAAGAACTAAGTACCTCTATAAAGGTACATGCTACCTCCACATCCCACCAAGTTCTACTACATGTATCTCAGCCCTGTATTTATTTCTGAAGAAATAAGATAATAATATAAATAAGATAAATTTCTGAAGTGTATGTGTTTTGAGATAAACTAGACTGCCTTAGAGAAGAAAAATTGCAGAGTTTTACATTTTTCTTCATATATATGAAAATTCATATACATAGTCTATATAGGATATTCCAGAAATGTTCATAGTAGAGAATCATTATTGCCCTGCCTCTCTGTTACATTTATTCACTTATATTTTAAGTGTACATTATGGGTTGTATTTGGCCTGGTTCTTGAATTGTCCATCTTATACATCTGTCACCTCTCTTTCAACATCAGTAATTTCCTTGGAGTTCCACTTACAAGATAGTCCACTATCCATTTACCTTGAGGATTTTATCAGCTTGACCTCATTTGCATGTTGTGATATTCTTCTAAGGTGTAAAAAAGCCTACCTGTGGCTTTGAGATTTGATTTCCTGATGTCTACTGAAGTCATCTATGGTTTGCTGGCCTATGATACCTACCTCTGTTCTTTTTTTTTTTTTTGATAGAATGGTTCTTCTAGCCAAAGACGAAGATTTAACCCGCAGTATCATAACAACAGGCTAAACGGGTCTGCCAAGCCACAGGGCAGTGGTAACGAAGCTGATCCGATGGTGAAGGGCAACAACCGTCACGAACACAGAAGACAGCCACACAACGGCTTCCGTCCCAAAAACAAAGGCAGTGCCAAAAACCAAGAGGCCCCATTGGGGACAAAGCCCCTGGAGGCCCCAGCGCATTCTGAAAAGCCCCGGCGGAGGCAGCATGCTGCAGACAACTCGGAGGCCAGGCCTTTCCGGGGTAACGTCGCTAGGGTTTCTCAGTGCAATCTCTGCCCGACGAGAATAGAAGTCTCCCCGGATGCCGCGGTTCTCTCCGTCCCCGCCATGACGTTGGTGGCCTGAGCTAGCAGCGGAAGAAAGCAGTCTTCCCTCAGTGTTGGTTCCGCACCCGAGGTGCTAACCCCACGCGCTGCCAAAAGAGAGTCAATCAGAATATACAAACCCGGTATGGTTGTGTCATCCTCTTCAATCATTTTTACTAATTCTAATAATTCACTCTAGCTTGCTTCATAACTTTCACAGCCTTGCTTGATCTGTTGATGCTTTTTCTCATCAAGACATTGCAACATTTTAGCCAGGCAGTATTTACTCATTTGTTAGGAGAATCAAGGTGTGGCTAAAGAGCAGAGGCTCAGTAGCAACCTCTGTTGTAGCAGTGATGTCAGTCCGTTGATCGTCTTTAGAGAGTTAATGTTGAAAACAAATCTTTGTCAAGACAAACATGATCTGCTGAAGACATATGCGCTTTTGTAGAATTTAATGTCTGGTGTTTTTCTGAAAAAATATATATACATATATTGCTTTATTTGAAACAAATTAAAATATGCTGCATTTGACACCTGGCCTGTTTTTTTTTTTATTGATTCCCACTTTCTTATCAAATGTACTGTGTAATTACTTTCAAGAAAACCTTAGAGACTAGAGGTTACATCACAGAGTTCCATACAATACTGTTTCTTTTGGGACAAGTATCCTTTCAGAAAAAGAGTGCCTCACAATGGGCCCTGCCGGTACGTACACCCACAGAGATGGATATGCACCCCAGTCATCTTAGCACCAGGTGATAGTTTGGAAACCTTCCTTGCAGGTACCAGAAACCTCATCCTCAGTCTTGTTCAAACAATAAAGAGAATTTATTAGCTCAGTGGCTGAAAAGTCCAACATCAAACTGTGCTTTGGGTTCCATTTGATCAGGGCTCCCGCATTTTCCCTTGATTGTTACAGCTTTCCCACCCCCAGCTGACTTGTATTCAGAATGGTGACAAACAGCTACCTGACTCCTAAGTTTCAAGTCCATGCCCTACTGTCTAGAAGAAAAGAGAACCTCTCCAGGTAGCAACCACAAGGAGCAAGGGTCTTCCTCAGAAGTCCCAGCAAGGGTCTCGCACCGCAGTGGGGGAGGGAGCCACAGAGGAGGTGTGTTCACTGGCACCGACTCTTCAGAGACCTCCCCACAAGCACAGGGCCTGTGTGGACGAGGGCTGTTCCTCAGGAAGGTAGAGTGGCCACTGCAGGCCCCATGCCCCAATTTGCCCAAGTTCCCTACCTTTGACTGCAGGGCAGCTTAGTCTGGCAACTGCTTCTATGGAACTTCCATGTGCCTTACAGTTTTGTCAGCCTCTTTCAAGAGCAAATGCTTATTTTCAACTCAACATTTTTTCTGGCAACCCAGGCTCAGTGGTTCAGAGCAGCCCAAGAAGCTGAGCCTGCAGCCTCACAAAATGCGTTTCTCCTTTGGCAAAGGGCAGGAGGATGTTTGCTCTCTGTAGACAGCTTGCTAAGGTCTCTGCATGTACCCAGAGATTAATATGAATTTCAAATGTTAAGTCACATTCTGGGAAGGAATGGAGAGTTGTTGCATCAAATAAGGAAGACAGATGTTCAGGACTGCAGTCCCCATTTACTCCATCTGATGCCCTGAATGTGTACTTACAGGCAGAAGAGACTTTGCACAAATTTTGTGTAGCAAGATGCAGCCCGCTATTGAAAAATGTCAGTTTGTATGTGATGGCTTTAAAGATTGGTCAAATAATTTCTGCAACAGGAAAACAATGGGTATTGTCAGAATTGGACCCAAGTACTCCTGACCCTGACTCACTCGTTCATATTGCTCTCAGGGGTAAGACAGCTCAAATGCATTCCTAAAGCACATAGCAAATGCTCCCAGGTTCCTGGAAAGAAATGTGAATACTGGAAAGTGTTCAGACCTGATTAAATTTTTTTCTAGATTTTGCCTTTTCTGGTAGAACCTTGGCATGTACATGAGCATTTACTAATTTTCGTGTTTGAAAACAGTGATCTCAATATATTACTGCCAGTGTCAGGCCATTTGAATACTGCATTACTTATCTTTGTGTGTTCAAATGGAACCATGGTGTGATCCTAGACATCTGAGTTACATTCTACCACTCTTTTAAAATGTTTTTAATTTTCTCAAAAAATCCACAGGCTATGAGCACTCTAAACTCTCTTCTGAATGCACAATAGCCTGAAGAATAGATTCTTCTCTCTCAAACATTTCTCCAGTAGACGTTAAAACATTTAAGTACCCATGAAGACTGAATAACTTCAAAACTCACTGACATTGTACCACCAAGACTCCATTTGTGAGATTTGAACCTCTCCCTATTTGGGTGCCTATTATATTATAAATTTACATCTCATTTGAGAATCTCTGCCTCCTCCAGCTCTGTCCTGTTGAGCCTGTCCTAGGGATACTGAAGACAACAAGTCTCAGAAAGGTAAACACAAGCTAGTAACAAAATTTACCCTCAATAAAGGCCATGGAAGAGTTGGGCAAGAAAAAACTAGAAACACAACATAGCCAATATAAAGTCAATTAACAAGTAATTTTATTCTGCTGGCATCAGAAGAAGAGAGTCTAATTAAATATTCTCTGGGAAGTGACATCAACTGAGGTGAACGGGAAAAGCTGCCAGACGAATAGCGACCTAAGAATTTTTGCCAAGGTAAGAGGTCTGAGGATTCTGACTCTTTGAAAGCCTAGGCTTGAGCCTCAGGCTTGTTTTAACCATAAGAAGAGGGAATCAAGGGCCTGGACAGTGCTTTTCCTAGGGTGACGTGGGGGAAGGGGAAGGAGAGAGCAATCAGGTGAGGAGAAGCCTGAATTCAACCAGCCTTCGATAAGTGCTTCCTCCTGTGGTTTCTTCCCTTTGGCACTTGATCCTTACCCTGCCTGTTTAGAGTGACCTCTTGTGTTCAGAAATAGGAAGATTTTCATTTCTCAACAGACATTCTAGTAACAGCATCCATGTGGTAGCTAATGGCATCTTTTACCACACTGGCATCAGAGGCCATACCTCAAATCCAGACACAGTTTGGCTGGGGCTCCAGATTGCCCCCAGGCATCCAGAAAAGGGTTAAAGAGAAAGAACCAGCCACTAGCTCCTACATTTCCTAAGCAAACTATACAATAGCAAAAGGCAAAAAGCATCCTCAAAATAATTTAACAGACTAATACGTTGCTCCAGCATCTTTCTGAATATATTGAGCCATCCTAACAGCTCTAATTTGGCAAGAAAAAATAGGAAGATTTGCTCCATCACAGCAACTCTCTGGTTTCCCTAGAATTTAAAGCACAATTTTTAATACTATGCAATGCAAGCTAATAGAAAGAATTTTTTTTCATCCATTTGCTTTTGGCAACAAGCCTTTATAAATCCTAATGAAGTTTTCTCTTCTTTGCTTCGAAGAACCAAGTCCCCAGTCCATGGAGGCAGATCAGCCCAAACCAGTGTTCCGTCTCCTTACAGCATCCCTCACGCGAAGGCACTCCAGTCTGGATCTGGTCAGGCTATCCGAGGAACATCTGAGGATTCTGACTCTTTGAAAGCCTAGGCTTGAGCCTCAGGCTTGTTTTAACCATAAGAAGAGGGAATCAAGGGCCTGGACAGTGCTTTTCCTAGGGTGACGTGGGGGAAGGGGAAGGAGAGAGCAATCAGGTGAGGAGAAGCTTGAATTCAACCAGCCTTCGATAAGTGCTTCGTCCTGTGGTTTCTTTCCTTTGGCACTTGATCCTTACCCTGCCTGTTTAGAGTGACCTCTTGTGTTCAGAAATAGGAAGATTTTCATTTCTCAACAGACATTCTAGTAACAGCATCCATGTGGTAGCTAATGGCATCTTTTACCACACTGGCATCAGAGGCCATACCTCAAATCCAGACACAGTTTGGCTGGGGCTCCAGATTGCCCCCAGGCATCCAGAAAAGGGTTAAAGAGAAAGAACCAGCCACTAGCTCCTACATTTCCTAAGCAAACTATACAATAGCAAAAGGCAAAAAGCATCCTCAAAATAATTTAACAGACTAATACGTTGCTCCAGCATCTTTCTGAATATATTGAGCCATCCTAACAGCTCTAATTTGGCAAGAAAAAATAGGAAGATTTGCTCCATCACAGCAACTCTCTGGTTTCCCTAGAATTTAAAGCACAATTTTTAATACTATGCAATGCAAGCTAATAGAAAGAATTTTTTTTCATCCATTTGCTTTTGGCAACAAGCCTTTATAAATCCTAATGAAGTTTTCTCTTCTTTGCTTCGAAGAACCAAGTCCCCAGTCCATGGAGGCAGATCAGCCCAAACCAGTGTTCCGTCTCCTTACAGCATCCCTCACGCGAAGGCACTCCAGTCTGGATCTGGTCAGGCTATCCGAGGAACGGCACAACGCCGCTCTCACCATGCAGAGCTAACCTACAAATGAGTTTTGGTGATTGATGGTCTGAAGCCCCTTGTTTGGGAGCTCTGCTTCTTCCCACAGTGCAGAAGAGCTTCTAGTGCTGACACAGGGACTGTGGGTGTAGTCGAGTAGAGTGAGGGCCTCTGGAAAAAGCAAGGCAGGATACTTACAGTCAGAGCAATGTACCTACATGCAGGGAAACCCCCTATCAAAACTCCGTGTTGAACGCTAAACTCGAGTCATTCTTCAGTGAGATCAGTTAATATTCCCCAGATAAAGGAAAGTATCTCAGCATAGCCCATGTTTTTATAATGCTAATCATTTGTCATCATGTGTAAGATTCACTTTAGCATGCTAAAAGGGACTTGATATCTCAATCAAGGACAAACATCGTAAGACCACTTTTAACAAGTCCACACCCTAAGCCCCTTATCAGTTCCCAAATATCCTCAACTGCCTATAAATCCCCTAGACAAGGTACCACTCAGGCTTTCTTAAGCCAGGAGTTCTGTCCTCTCACTTTATCTCTAAACAAAAGCCTCTCCCTGGCTCTCCTACCTTGGGTGTTTGCAAAGTTCATTCTTCAACGCTGCAAACAAAAACCCCAGCATCAGTGCTACCACCAAGTTCAAGTTCCACAGGGGAAATCATTGCATGAAGGCTTTTAGAAAGTAAATAAATTCTAAAGCAAATGTGTTTATTTGCCTTCAACAGAATGTGGATTTCTGGTGAAAAATTAAAAATGTACTTCAGAATCACAAATGTAACAATGACCAAAGAATTTCTGCAGAAAGTAAGTGTATAAAGTGCTTCCTGTCAAAAAGAGGAAACTATTCTGCTTTTAATGTTAGGTGCATACATTTGAATTAGATTTACCTATTCCCAGTCTTTTGAGAGAATGGACACTTTCTGTAAATTACCATTATTATGCAACAGGCTGACCAATGATAATGTCATTACCCACTCCACTGCCTGACACACATATGAGAGAGCAAGTGTCAAAGAGTGGTCAACCCAAACATCCCTAGAAAATTCCAGAGTCTAAATGTCTAAATTAATCTGGTAAACCAGTTCCAGAGAAGATGGGAAGAGAGCAGAGCAGCCTGAGTCCCAAACTGGTGGCAAATGGCCTGAGTTCA